CCGTTATGCTGACCTGTATGTCGGTACAACAACCGGTACATCTATGTTAACTGTCAGCCTAGATTTGTCATACCTCATCACAAGTTCCTTGAATAAGCTCAAACTGCATGGTGCAGACACTTTGAACTGAATCATTTTTATAATATAATAATTTCTATTATTTGTAATCTTCCAGAAAAAGTAGAGAAACATGGTCTTTATCGTAGTTCGTCTTAACGTTAGATCCACACAATACGTAAATTTTAATTAAGGAACTAGAATATAATTCGACATCGAGGTTTCCGTTATATTCGTTTGTTGTGATATTTACAATGATCGGGAAAGGGAAAATTTTAATTCTTTACCAAGAACTTATTATACACATCTGAATTAAATATTTTTAATTTTCTCAACATTACTAATGCGCTTGAGTCGAAAGTTATTAAAACGTAGTTTTATATGTAATCTGATAATAATACATAATACTTACTTGGTAATATAAATAAGAGCGATGTAGTTTCTCTTTCTCTCTCTCTCAGGCTTAAAGGTATTATGATCGATCCAACTGGCCAAATTTTATTGATCACAAAAACGCTATGTTCGACCGCAGATTCCGGTCCTTTTCAAGCGTATATACATTACTCACATTCAACAGGCAATTCATGACACTGTGCTCGCAAGTCAGAAACTGAAGACTAGAGGCAGAAAAAGAATTTCCATTTTGTATTGTGATAACTTAAATAAAATAAAGGAAATATAAAATTAGAGTATCTAAGTAAAACTTACATGATTATGTGCTCATAACGACAGTTGTGCAGATATACCATATGATAAAAAAGCTGCACAACTGTCGTTATGAGCACACAACGACGCATAACGATCGAGTTAAAGAATCGCACTACTGGCGTAACGAAAACGAGCGTAAAACCTGTGAATGGCCAAGTTCCTTACGCTGGTACGCCGGTACGTTGTACGCCCACCTGGTAGCAGAGTGACTAACACATCATTGGATGAGTGATAATAACGTCTTAATGATATCTTTAACGTCTCAATAAGACTTTTTTAGATGTCATCTTGCTACTTGGGCGTTAGCTGGCTCCATTAGCTCCATAAGATTTCATCTCACCTTTTCACTGCATGACTCCACCTATTGTTGTCAGATTAGTCAGATGATGTTCACCATTGCTAAGAGACCTAACAAAGCCTTTTCACGTGTCAACCGAGTCCGGTATATCGTTTTCCACTCGCCCATTGGCTCAAACAGATCAATTCATTACTCAATAACTATAGCGAATTTTACAAAATGGTACGTGACTTTTCCTTTCAGTTTGAACCAATCTATCTTCACACGTTAGCTTTCTCAAAAATTGCCAGACACCCTTATAATCCATATCGTGATAATTATCTATATCCCATAATCTGCTCAATAAAATTGATAAGCGGAGCTTTTCCGGCAAGTCGACACAAAGTGTCTCGTTTCGTCTTTGTTACTCATTGCCAAAAAAGAAAGATAGAACGACGTTCGTGTTGACTTGTATCGCTTGCCGGAAATAATAAAAAGTTCAAAAAATAAAAGTTTAATGAATAATATAATTAGACTCGTGAAAGTGTCAGAGATTTAACGGCGAATGCGAGTCAGGCACGGAACGTGTGATGCGCAAATAAATAAAACGAATACGTGTATTTAACAGTGACGAACGTTTCGGCTCTTTTTTCGAGCCATCTTCAGCGTTTATTAGGAAAAGAAGATTTTAATTAAAAAAGTTTAATGATTTCGAAAAAATATGTTCGTTAAATCCGTTGTTTAGTACATATTATGTTGTACAAGAATTATGGTGTGTAATAGTTCATTTATCAATTTATCACAGCAGTTTATATTTTTATCTATAAATTTTTTTCGAGGACAGGGGTCTCTCATCTCTGTACATATTATTATTATTTTTATACGGAAGAATTACGTTCAACGTACATAGAAAGTCGCATTTCTAGAAAATATATTTTATTGTAATTATTATTTATACTTTACACTTGTCCACGCGACAATATTTCATAAATAGCTCAATTTTACATTCAGTAATGAAGCAAACTGTACCGATACATATTACTATATTTATATTGTTACGCCCGCGCCGAGGCGCCCGGTAGATGCGAGCCGGAGAAGTCGCGAGTCGTCCCCTTGACGATTCGCGACTTCTTCACTTCTTCTCCGGGCGCGGGCGTCTCGGCGCGGCCGTAAAAATATTATGGCAGCAGGGTGTCGCGTTCCGGAATTCTCGAATATCCGGTATGTGCCGTGATAGTGCCTCATTGTACAGGACATTGTCCCAAAAGTGTCCGCATGCCAATGTCCAGAATCTCACGAAGAAGCTTAAAAGCTTAAAATTTCGATCAAGACTTATATTATAAATCGTAACTTATCGTATAAAATTATGTGTGAAAGAAATTAAATTAGAATTATTCGATAGTCGTTTAACAAGAGTTCAATTATATATACAACGATTCGCTCGAAATATATATCTATATTAATTATTAATATGTAAATCAAATTAATAAATTATATCACCTACGCATGCGAGAGGAAATACTTATTATTCTACTTTCATCCCTGTATGAACACACAAATGCACGAGACCGACGCTTTATCGTTGATCTGTGCTTCTCCTCGCGATCCTGTACGAACAATCGTACGCAGCTATAGCTATATGGCTATTCTTATGTTGTACAAAACAACAAAGCATATAAAACAACAATCGTTAGCGTCACGTGTTTTACAATGCCGGCGACTAGCCGAAACTTCTGACAGTTTCTCGTGTTACGGATGGTATGTACATGTATGTAGCGTTATACGAACATTTTCGGCCAAGAATTCAATCTGTCATATTATCATGGTCACGATAATGGTAATCTCTTTATCCACGCGCTCTGTTATCTATTTTAGTTATCTAGCAGCCTTTCCTTGCCAGGGTCGTACGAATTCTTCCCGTGCGTCTCGCATTTACAGCGATTCCGTATTTACAGGGCATGTTAATCGCACATTATTTAATTGTGATTTCCGATCTATAGCTTAATTAATTAAACGATATCTTCTCATGCGCGATGGATTCAGAGTCAATCGACTATGGGCCGAACAAAAACTGCCCATTAAACACCAATCAACATGTAACTTAACACATGGTGCGTAGGGTACATGTTACTTGGTGTTTGCTGGATGATGATTAACAGTAATGAGGATAAGTCAGTTTCCCTTCCCTCTTTAAGACAGAATTCTCATTTTACTTGAATGGAATTCGTGAAAGAATCTGCGCTCGGGAGAGGGAGGACGAGACTTTTGCGCGTGGACCACCGAGAACAACTATAATTACCTATACTAAAACTACATGGGTTGTACGGTGTCCTTTGTGTTATGCCCCGATATCCTCGTGAGAGGTTCTTCGTCGAGATCGTTGGAGATTTGATTCCAATGTTCATCCTCCTCTTCCTCCTCTTCGTGCAACGAATCTTTCCTGAAAAGCAGAGTCACAGTTTCTTTAATGTCGTAATAAGGATTAAGAACAAGAACAGATTAGCGAAATTAGCTTTTCGAGGGATACTTTGATCAAAGTAAAAATCTAATCTTGTAATTTACGGTTGTAATTTGCGGGCTATATTTAAAAATTTTTTTTACGATATCAATTTCTGTTAAACGATAATAATAATCGAGGAATTTTGGGAGATTTTCACTCTTATTATCAGAACATTACTAACTGATACTTGTTGCTGGACGGCAGAAATAAAGATTTCGGACAGTCCTTGAAGTAGGGCCAACACTCGCCATGAAATTTCCCGCGGTTTTCCGCCTCGACGTATTCCTTGAGGAGATTTGCGAACGGCGATCGACTGGCGCTATAAAGATAAAACGTTTGTATTTAACGTCACGCTTTTTTATACGGTTTATTATATAACTATTTCCAGTTACGGAACAAAATTATTCGACAGGGCGCTTTTCCAATATACTTTTAAACCAGGAACGGGCGCCTGGTGATTTTCACAGTATCGAAAAAATAAAGCTCATGCCACAGTAACGGAATAAATGGCGTGCGCGTAGCGTAGTGTTCTGGTACTAATAAATTATCGTACATAGAACAATCATAAACATATAATTAATAACAATGACTTTTCATTGAGATGTAAAAATCATCTCAGGTGAAAATTTATAAAAAGAAGAAAAAAACCAGGCACCCGTTTCCGCATTAAAGCTCTACGCGAGTCCGGAATGTTTATCCTTCACTTACGTGAAGAATAACTTGAGCATTTCACCGATCAGCCCAAAGTTGTTCAGATGGTGTCCCTGAACCTCGCAGATCGCCCTCAACAGACACGCTTTCCCGTTCATTCCCAGCGTGCTCAGCATATCCTCGGCGGTGCCGTAAAGCAGGGCCCGTTCGCCGCCGTGGAACGCATTTCTCGGCATCTCCGTCGCATCCCGCTTGTGTAATCTGCGCTTGATAAACGCCGCGATGAAATCCGCCATCATCATGCCGGCCTGCCGGCCCTTCAGCTTCCTGTCGAAGCTCGGCGGCAGAGCGCCGTACGGGTTCTCGTTATCCGTCAGGCCCAGCTTATCAAAGTCGACTGGAAAAGAAAGACGCGTGATGATTCTAATATCGCGATTTTCTGTAGGATCAATCCGGGAATGGTCATCTGGGATGATTATCCTCAGTGTCGAAAAAATGAAGCTCACATTACAATAATTTTAACACTAGAACTATCAAGGAGGTCAACATGACTTTGACATTTTTTAAAATAATTATTATTTATTTTTAGAACGTCACAATTTCTGAAATTTACCCTTACTTTTATTGAAATATACAGATAATTAATTTGTTTTCTCTCTCTCCTTTTTTCATTTTAATCCTTTCGGTAGAAATAGGTATGAGACCTTATATATAGGTATATTGGTTAAATCTTTGGTAGTTTCAGTGTTAACGTACTTTTTTCGTTTTTTAAAATATTTTTTTTGTTTTTCCTTATTTTTTTTTAAAATATATTGAATAAATCTATATACACACTGTCCTCAAATACTAATAAATTATAGAACAATGAAAAATATTCAATATGTAATTAATAATAATGACTTTTGGGTTGTACAAGTCACCCCCGATGATCGTTTATGCAAAAAAGAAAATGAGATGACCGTTTCTGGGTTAATCACACGGACAAACTCACTCGTGAACGGCAGACTGATGGTCATGTTGCTGAGGAAGCCGTAAGGCGGGTGCCGGACAAAGGGCAACGCCAACGTTGGCGTGATTGTCATCACGGTGCCAGGTGGTAGCGCGATACGACCGTCGTTCGTGAACCAGAAGACCCTCTTCTGTCGGTGATGCGGTGCCTGGCGAGAAGAGGACTCGCCCTCGTGAACGGTACCACCGGCACCGCCGGACGTGGACGACTCCTTCAGCACAACCAGACCGAGCAGCAGTTGCAACAGAAGACGTCCTCTCTGCGACATCCTGCGCTGTCCAAGTTGTCGCGACGAGACACCTGTTATATGAGCGTATTGTTACACAGAGACAAATTACGAAAACGTTCTACGCGCGAATTTATCGGAAAAACCTACGCCGAAAAAAAGAAGTATCGAAAAGCTTACACTACCGTTCAAAAGTTTGGAAGCACTAGGTTTTAAGAAAAACAAAACAGTGGCAGTGGTGCTAATACTTCCAAAGAAAAATGCCATATGAGAAACTTTAGTTTTTATGGTTTAAGTAAAATATAATAATTATTATTATCATATTTATTACTATATTTTATTCAGACCATGACAACTTGTTTTTTTCTTGAACAGTTAAAACAGATAGCGAAGTTTCTCGTATGACATTTGGCTTTGGAAGTATTAGCACCACTGTTTTGTTTCTTGTAGCAACAACAAATAGTAAGCAATAACTATCTATAATTTTCTTATAAGAATTTTAACTTTATTTCAATTTTTTTTTCTTGGTTGAATTAAGATATAAATGACTCCATTCAAGCAAGTTTTCTTCAAGATTATAGATTGTTGCGTTATACACGGTTACATATGCAATTCTTGATTTGATACTTTTTCTTTTCCTTTGTACGAATTAGAGCGATTGAGATTTCTTTTGATCCTCAAGTTCATCGCTCTCGCGCGTTCGTCTCTCCGAGAGACGAATAAATTCGCGATCATAGGGGGGAAGGGAGGGGCTAAATAGGTACCAGACAGCATCGACGGTGGACCGTAGATTAGATTAATCGTTTTATTTGCGAACGAAACGCGTATAATAATTCTCATCTTCCTGATGGCTCGCCGGCGCCTCAAGTAGGCCGCGCGACGGACCCCGCGGAATTATTTGCGATAAATCCCGCGACGATGCATGCGTATACTGCTATGTATCGCAGTCACGAGACTTACGGTACCCGCGGTGTACCGCGATTGAAGCGTCAGGGAAAAACTCTTCTGCGACAGGTATCGCCGATGGATTTTGTCGCGCGTCTGCTTCTTCGTCGTCGTTGTCGTTATAGCGGCGGCATAGTCACATCCTGGTTCGTGCAAGAATGGACGAGGCACGCGCGAGAAAATTTTCCCCTGATTGATATTCGGGACGGGTAGTGCACCTCGCGCTGTCCAATTCGGCCAATTAGAAACTTAATTTGTGGGTAAGGAGGATAGAGAGATATCCCCTCTCAGGGGGATAACTGTGCCCCTTCGTCGCGCCGATAAGCTAAACGCCCATTTATCACGTTGAATGAAAATTCGAATGTGAGATGTGAGAATTATTCGCTGAGATAAATGCCGGAGAACGTTGTAAACAGCTGAGACGGAGAACGGAGCGAGTTTTCGTGGAGCTGGAGACTTGGGGATTCGGGGGAACGCTTGAATTAAACATAAGAAAACTATGAACTTGACACGTTAAATTCGTAGTGTCAAATTAGACTCAATGTGAGTGATTTTTAATCATTTCTATAGGTCGCCATTACTCCTACTCTCAATATGTCATTAATTTAACTAAAACAATGTTAATTTAACTAAATCAATGGAATTATAATAATACTGTTTTGTGTCAAAATAATAAATTTCGACACAAATGTAATTAAAAATAAGAAAATGTTATTTAACTCAAGATTCTGGTTTAGATTTCATCTTTTAATATTTAACATGTGAGTGAGAATCCGGAAGAAATCACATTCATGGGATTTTCGTTTCATCACAATATTACCGCCATTACGTTTCTATATTACGCGATTACGTGACGCCAGCGGAGGATATCATAACTTACACATACATACACGGCGAAATCGCACGCGGCGCACCGTCTTAATTATGACGAACGCGCCGCGGAACGCGATGTCGATCGTTATCGCGAACTACGTGCTGCGGCATACACGCGTCTCTCCTCTCCCTTTACGTCGAACCTGCGTGACGACGCGCATCTCGTCGCCGTGTCTGCTTGCCGGTCACCGGGACATTACGTGCGCGAGTCCATTAGGCTTTGGTCATACGACCGGCCTCCCTACCGCGAAATGAGCTTCTCCCTTTGATCGGCGTGTAACAGTATATAAACTGCAAAACAGCGTGGTCAAGAGGAACCGGATGACCGGGCTGTTGCCCTAGAAAAATGCAAGTCGCGTTTGTCCGTATACCGTCGCACTCGTTCCTTTTCCCCTGAAATGGGCTGTTCGCCTCACGCGCTCACACTGTTAAATTCGTAGTGTCAAATTCTACACAATTTGAGTCATTTTAACTCTTTCTGTAGGTCGCCACTACTCCTACAAAAAAAAAGAAAAAAGAAAAAAAAGAGGAAAAAAAAAACCTATGTCGTTAACTTAACTGAACCAATGAAGATGAAATAATACTGTTTTGTGTTAAAATAATAAATTTTAACACACATAGTTATTAATAATGTTATTTAACTCAAGTTAATTTATCGTTTAAATTTATTCTTTTAATATTTAATAGTGTAGGTGGAACATAAAACTCATAATGACATCATCGTGACTTTATTATCACTTAAAAGTTATCTGAACATGTCTATGTAACTTTTAAAAGTGATCATCATGAAGTCATTATGAGTTTTATGTACTACCTAGGCGAGCACCGCTAACCCCATCGTAAGTCCGAGCTAAGATATTGATACATAATATAATTTATTGTGTCTTAATCTTAAATTAATTATCGATAGCGTTTGGTATTATGCTGATGTAATATTTTCCTTAAATCTCTTGGGAATACATTGATATCATCAATATAATTGTCTTTCTCAACATCTTGAATTGATGGAAATAAATTACATTGATATGATCTTACGCAACTATATACATAGTCAATGAGCGTTTCCGTTCTGTAATTGCGGCATGAATTTTCGGCGCATTAAATTCGCGAGAAGGGTCAATACCCTCGTACCACGGTATCGTTTCTTTTTATAAAACCTGCCCAAATTTGGATTTAACTCGTTTTACGCAATCGTGCCTCGACTGTTGTAACAAACCGTTCATCACCCTCACAAAAAAAAGAGAAGTAACGTTTCTGCGCATTATCTTCCTCGAGAAATCAGTGGAATCACCGGAAACGGATCAACACGATTCGATCTAGATTGAATGGCCTACATTGTTTAATGCGTGGCGAGACTTGAAGTTCGGCGAGCGGATGGGGAGGAGGGTTGGGCCGACCGCTAAGTGTCATCGTTCGGAATACGAATTACGATTGACCCCCATATTTCGATATGTGCGCCGTGTCGTGCGTGTTCTTTGCGAGGGGGGCGCGCAACCGCGCGCGCGCGGCCGACGCGCCTCAAAATTAAACTCTGGGTAATCAGGTCCGGGTACTGATAGGTATATATTGGGCCGCGCGCGCTTTTGACGAGGCACCGTTAGTTAGCTCGCAAAAAAACCGGGTCGGTTTTTAAGATCCTGATTCCTGCAGGCGATCCGCGAGAAAGGAATGAAACGGCAGAATTCGGTAATATACCGAATAACCGTTTCGGTAATCATCGGGCCGCTAAAATGCCGACTCGAGATGTTGGTGATTGGCTTGAGGAATTCTTTTCACGCAAACGGATTCTTATTATTGTAAAAATAATACCGAGGGTGCCAGTTTTTGAGAGACATATTATACTTTGAGAAGGTTCATCGTTGTTATTGCTATCGCATATTGATCGATTTTATCGCGTTTTTCCCGTCCATTTGGTGAAATTTGACCAATCAGAGTAGTAAAGTTCACTAAACTCGAGATCAGTTTTCTTTATTCTGATTGATTAAATTTCAATTTAATCTCAATTCCAATCCGTATAGTCTGATACGGGCTTTATCAGATCGACGCCCTCGGCCCTCCCTGCGTTAATTCGCAAAGCTCTCCTCTGGATTCGCCGTCGTTAAGTCTTCCACTCTTCCCAATTAATACGAAAAATTTGTCGTGCGATAAATGAAGTAGTGCTCTTAGGTCTGCCGCCTAAAATCAGTTCACGGTTGAGTTGCAGCGAACTGATTTCAACGATAAACGCAAAACGTTATACGGTTTTTGCTTCGGACATTGCAGCGTTTGCAACCGCGAGGTTGCACCGATCTTAATATATGCATCCACGTACAGATGGATATTTTATGTTCCTTTCGCATCAAAATGCAGCGAATTCCTGACCTAGTGCCTCCTATACTCGCGCTTAACGGTAGTATCGTTATAATGCGCCGTACTTTAAAGAATCGCGCTCCCGATGACTTCCGCGAGGCGAAAGGAAAAAAAAAGAAGGCGAGGAGAAGATGAGGAGAAGGATTCGTTATCCCTAAAGCGATGGCTCGAAGCCACGATAAATCCCCGCGTGGCTTGCGCGAGCTCGTCGTCGATAATTGTAATCAAGATAACTTGTACCCCGACTGATCTCCCCCTCTGTGTCTCTCGGGGGGGTCGAACATCTCATTCGCGACTTCAAGCGTCGAGCGCGTGGCATTACATCGCGAGCGTCGTAGAACTTTAATTTACGGTGCGCGTAGCCACGTGTGTCGGGCGAGTAATTACCGCGCGCTCGTAATCAGCTACTCTCTAAGTATAAACGACACGTGCGCATGTTTTTGCCGTGCCGGCAATTACGACGGGCTGGAGTAATTATTATAGAATATTGTAGAAAAAGAATGTACATATTGCTGCGTAATGTCAAAAGGAATAGTGAGACATTAACGGAATCTTCAATCTCGATATGCCTTTCGATACGTCTTTTCGTATCGAATATCAGTTATGATATGATCCTTTTTTAAATAACGACGTAAGGAAAGATATATTTCAATATCGAGGCGGATTTGAAAAATTTACATGTCGCAAATATCAACGCACATGCAGTGTTAAATTCGTTGTGTTAAATTATACTCTATATTTGAATAATTTTTTTTACCATTTCTATAAGTCGCCCCTGCTCCTACTCAATATGTCGTTAACTTAATTAAAACAATGTTAATTTAATTAGACTAATAGAGTTAAAATAATACTGTTTTGTGTTAAATTTTACAATAATAAATTTCGACACACATGCTAG